CCATACAGAGCAATCACAACATACAGAGCCCATACAGAGCCATCACAACATACAGAGCCCACACAGAGCCATCACAAGATACAGTGCTCACACAGAGCCATCACAACATACAGAGCCCACACAGAGCCATCACAACATACAGAGCCCACACAGAGCCATCACAACATACAGTGCCCACACAGAGCCATCACAACATACAGTGCCCACACAGAGCCATCACAACATACAGAGTCCATACTGGAGCCATCACAACATACAGAGCCCACATAACATAGAGACCCACACAGAGCCATCACAACATACAGTGCTCACACAGAGCCATCACAACATACAGTGCCCACACAGAGCCATCACAACATACAGAACTCTCCAAAGCCTCCCATGGCACACACCTGTATGAGGAAGAGAAGCCTGCAGCGCGTGACACTGAAGAGCATGTCAGCTATGAAGGTGCTGAGTGTCAGGCTCTTTGGTTTCCCTCGCATTTTCAAATATGCAGCATCTGCTATGTCCTACAACACAAACACAATCAATCAATCATTTTTTAACTGTGATTTATACAATGTATGTGACTGTTTGAATAAAGTTGATGATAATTTAATGAATGTCTTCACAAAAAATAGGGCTAACTTGCAAAACACGATTGTATAGAATAACAATGACATGACAGAAATGCCAGAAAGATTTCCATGATAAATGCTTTTTTATAAATTTTGTATTCATGCATTCAGTAATGGTAATAACTGAGTATAAAGCATGACCAGCCAATCTATGATGACAGTATCATGCTGAAAGCTCCATGCTCATAGCTGACTGACTTGATTGCTTGTCATTATTTCCCAATTAAGTACATTGAAGCTCATGACAATCAGTGGATTGCCTGGTCCAAAATTGATTATTTACCAACCACTGTTATAGAGATAAAGAATCAGTCGTCATTTACCAACATATTTGTCTGTTCTCTTAAGTGCACGGGGTTGTGTATTGTACGCGAGGGGTACACTGAAGGAGTCTGCACACAAAGTTGACTCCAAGATGTTTTACACCCGGTCACAGGTGGGCTCGATCCCGGCACCTTAAGCTCGCTGGATCACTAACCTGGCGCCTTAGACAGCTCGCCCACCAAACCCCCGTTGTGTAGATTGCTCATCCCAATTGCGTTAAATGAAAGCCCAACAACACCAACTTTTGTTGGAACAGATGGAACATTGACAATGGCTATACTATGCAAGACCTCATGCTTGTTGTAAGAGACAATTATATCAAGAAACAGCTGAAGGCTTTGCAGATTGCATCTCATGCCCTGATGCCTTGAACCGCTTCTCTTATTGCCAGTCCCTGTCCAGACTGACCGGCCGCCTCCGTGGTCTCCATTGGTGTAGTGGTTAGAGCCTCAGCTCGGGAGAGGAAGGTTTGCGGAGTTCGATCCCGACCATACCAAAGATGTTAAAATATGGTACTTGTTGGTCCCTGCCTGGCGCTTTCGGCATTAATGGGTATTACAAGGACTTGGTCGACTTCGGAGTCAGTATAATGTGTCTGGGTTGGGTATTCATGCTTCACTGCGGCATGGTATCTGAGTGGGCTAGCACTATAAAACCAGCTTAAGTCTGGGCTAGTACAAGCAACAACGCACATACACATACACACATGCACATGCGTCATATGAAGCCGAAACATTCTCAAGCCTGACGTTAAACCCAATTCCACCACCACCAGGCCCAGACTTGATATTACCAGCCACTGTGATGTTGCTGGTGCATGGTGATCTGGCTGTGCATGCAACCATAAAAGTTTCATTTGACAAATCCATCTTCACAAAACACACAATGTCCTTAAAGGTCACATAAACCCTAGGGGGGTACAAATACATAAAATCACTAACTGGCAGCGTTATAAATGAAACCCGTCATTAAAACTACTCATTTTCGACCTTTAATTGACTTAAATCGACCTTTTGACAACAGTGCACAATTCTCACCCGCTGACAGAAATTTCAACCAATCAGGTAGCTGGCCCTCTGTGGCGTCATATGAGGGAATAGCTTTGAGAGCGATGCAGAATTCATCTACATTTTAGGGGTAAATTATCGTGTTTACAAGCTTGTATAAACCTGAAATCGTGACAATTGTTGTGGAAAATGAAAGCTATATGTTCTCACAATCTACTGTCATTTAATTTTGTCTCCTGCTTTGCCTAGTTTCCGAGTTACAACTTGTTTTCATAGGCGATTCTGTCAAAATCGATTGGTGTCGTTAAGGCCCTATTTGTATAATGACTGATCCAAATTGATCCCATTTCTGTGTTGTTTTACCTCGATATTTAATCATGTCATGTAAAAATCTGTTTGTATTCTCAAAACAGTGTCGCCCATAAGTTTTCACATGCAATGCAACAATTAATACTCCCTCTTTGTAACCCGTGTTAGGTGGTATAAACCTACACATGTTATTTGTCATCATTCACTTGATGGTCCAGTTAATGAATTTATAACAGGTATAATTAGTGGTAACACACTTAGATTACCCGACAAAGGTTCCCATTTGGCATTTCTTGTGTCTGGAGTAAATATTCAACATTATAAACATCGATCAAAGGATTAACCGATAACACGCTGATTGATTAATTACTTTTATCTTACACAGCGGAATTGTCAAAGGTAGTGTTTACGTTATGTAGATTTACTAATCTATACTCGAATACACTCTGTGTCGTCCGGTGTCTGCGTTAAAACAACGTCCTTCTTTCAAAGGAGGTCAAATTCTTCTCTGTCGTTTATGCTGGGCTGCAGTGATCTTAATTCTCACTTGTTTGATAGATATTTGTCAGACAACCGGAATTCCCTCCTGTGGGAACACTTTCGAGAAGATGCTTACCATTATTTCCTTCAGTGTTCTCTATATGATAGGTTTAGATTTAATACATACTTCTTTCAAAAGAAATAATATAAGTTTACATGCTATTCTAAAGCGATGAATCTTTGTCCCAGTATGAAAGCGAATTAATAATAAAAATCGGTTTTACAGTTTCTTAAATGGCCACCAACCGTTTTCCATAAAGTGTGGTACCATATGCTTTACTTAGTTTGAAATTATTGAATTACTTATTTCCACAAATGTACTTATATAAAATCATTCTCTGCAAGATTATGTTTGGGAGAGAAGCATTTACATAGGCTGATGCAGCCTGTTTGCTGATCCTTTTCCTCTTTGTAACTTAATCATGTTTAATGTATATCACATGTCTTTAGGAAATAAAATACTGTTTAAATCAAAGGGATTAACTTCAATACATTGATTGATTGACCATTATTGGCTAACTAAATTACTGTTTTTTTAAAGAAAGGCGGACATTATGCAATTAGTTGCCAGGTGTGCTATCTTGGGTGACCAATGAGGACTATACACCAATACTTCCGAAAAGATTTATCACTTTTTTCTATTAAACTGTTAAAAGACACATCATTTTGGAACAGTTTTGTGGATATCCGATGGATACATTCCTCGAACAAGGTAATGGCCTGATATTGTTCCTATAACTATTTAATCTGTTTTAATTCTTTTAATATTTGCATTTTGTTTTATTCATTTGTGCGTAGCATTCAACAGAATCATTGTTTTCGTGAAGTGTACATGAGACCAGAATGCACTAGGGTGTGTGTCGCTTAATTCATGATTCACATTGGCAAACTATAGAAATGTCTAGATATTGGCAGTTCTGTTATAAATTCACTATAAAGTATCAATGATCGTCTGCTTTTTATTTAGTTTCAAAATGCATACAAGTGTGATAATAAACTAATTAGGATTATAAGACAAAATATAAAGACGCACATTGACTAGTATCTACATACTGGTGGAGTGGACATTAACCATAGAATGTAGCAAAGAAATTTATCAGCGCCCAGTATTGTGACTTACGACCCCACCTCGGCTTCCGTGGAAGAAATCGATTTATGTTATAAGTTGTGTCATGCAAAATCCGTTTGGTTATGATTCCAATACATATTTAACAAACGAGTAGAAAGTAGTCTTGATTTTCTAACTTGATGAAAAACAAACTATAATCTCATTAATTCTAACAGATTTTTTATTTTTTAAAATGTGCCCCTGTCGGGAACATCCGCCAGTCTGAGGATAAATGGTATTTAGGTTTGTTTTCACGAAGTTACAAAATCAAAACTACTTTCTACTGGTAGTAAAATATGTATTTTATTGATGGCCAATAGGATTTTGCATGACATAGGCATTATATCATAACAATTTCTCTAAGTGGCGAGGTGGGTGTCAATATAATACTACTTACAATATTATTGTTGCCGACCACAACCTCACTTCGAGGAAGAAATCGTTATGTTACAAGTTGTGTCATAGAAAATCTTTATGGTCATCAATCATATGCATATTTTACTACAACTAGTAAGTAGTTTTGATTCTTTAACTTCCGTGAAGCGATCTGAACACAAGTAAGATATCGTTTCAGGCTTCCCTGGCTCGCTTAGCACTCACAAACATAACCCATTTAGCACGAACTGCGGGGTCCTGTGGAAATCTGTGCATGGGGACACCATCGCCCGACCCTAGGAGCAATTGGCGACAAAGCAGCGATTAGGCATGTAAAATTCGTTGATGTCGAGAAATCATCAAAATGATGGCGTGCTACACATTTTCTATACAACTAACTGAAAATCGTTCCTCATATGGCGTCACTGCAGTGCTCTGGCGACAGAGTTCACGTAACCTGTCTGTGGTTTTCGTTGGTGAGAGGAAGCGAGGCGACTTTTGGCCACTTTTAATCGCTTTCGGTATTAATTAACCACAAGTTTTTAAAGAATAAATTTGGTGTTCCGCATAAGACTAACCACAAATCTTTCATATGTAATGGTTAAAGAGTAACAAAAACAAAGTTTAGTGGTTCTTTAACCTGACCAATTTATGAAAAGAAAGTGAAAAACAACAGTTCACAGGCAATGGACTCCATCAACAAGCTGACCTCCGTCCACCCCTCACTGACCTGAGATGAGCTCTGTGAACCAGTAGATACAGGGTAGAAGCATGTAGTGGAACACGAAGATGCTCAACTGAAACACAGGAGGATTACCAATAAGCCCTTGACACTTTGGTTGTGAGTGAGTGAGTGAGTAGTGAGTGGTGAGTGAGTGAGTGAGTGAGTGAGTGAGTGAGTTTTATGCCACATTCAGCAATATTCCAGCAATATGGCAGTGGTGTGTAAATAATCGAGTCAGGACCAGACAATCAAGTGATCAGCAGCATGAGCATCAATCTACACTATTGGGATACGATGACATGTGTCAACCAAGTCAGTGAGTCTGACCACCGGATCCTGTTAGCCGCCTCTTGCGACAAGCATGGGTTACTGAAGATCTATTCTAACCCAGATCTATTCTAACCCAGATCTTCACGGGTCTTGGTTGTGTTTAAATCAATATTTAAAACAATTAGTAACTTTATGAAGTCATTCATAATCCAGTTGTACATTTCCGTTTAAGACAAATTTACAAGGACAAATTTTTTTGGGCAAAATATGAGGCCTCATTGGCCAAATTGTAGCAAGTTCAAAATCAATATAGAATGAACAAGTGTCATTCACATTCAGATCGCAGGATATCTTCAGACATCTGTTTAGTACCACAGCTATACGCGAGTGAGTGAGTGAGTGAGTGGTGTTACCAGAGGCCCAGATAAGCTGCCTATCCGGGGTAAAATATGCATATAAAATTTCCAATTACGTATTGAAAAATAATTGTTGCGTACCAATTACGCAATTTAAATGTTAGATACACAAATAGTTTAAAACAAATGCATACGGAATATATTTATAAAAATCGCTTGCGTAATAAAAAAGACATCGATTGCTATCAAGTTGTACTGTTAGTATAGGACTAGTGTTGTACTGTCAGTATTGGATATGTGATTTTTTTATGAAATCATTTCCATTATATTTAAGTTGGTTTTGATTAGGTATGACATAAGGCAGAACATACCTGCTTAGTAAACTTACTCAATGACATAATACTTAGGTGAGTAAAATGACTGAAATACGCACACATTTGAAAGCTGTGGGTAACGGAAAATGAAATACCCACTCAACATTCATAATACCCACTCCACAAAACTACAGTGGGTACAGTACCCACATGAGCTAAATCTTATCTGGAGCTCTGGTTACGATATTTTAGTTATCTCCCTTATAGTAATGTTGTTCTTACCCAGCAGACGCCACCATTCCATGCACAGCACATAAATATTCGATTTGTTACTCTGGGAACGCTGCAAACAAAAAGAAAAAAACCATCTCAAGGCATGGAATGAATAAATGAATTATGCCAGGGTATCTGATAAAAGTCCACTTTCTCATACAAAGACAACATAACTTTTATTGTTAAGAGTTGATGACTGGGATGAGATTCTTAGTTATAAAAAAATTAGTTCACTCCGTGATTTTCCTTTTTTTCTCTCATTATTATTGGCTCAATGTTAATATTGGCAGAACATATCGCTATCAATAGGTTATAGAGTCAGTTTCCTTAGCAACACTCTCTGCCATTTATTCACCTCATGGTTCTTAATAAAAACTCTCACAAATTAATAACCTCTCCATCTTGTGTCCCAGCCCCTGGTTATCTAAAACTCAACAGGTGCTCGATCATTAGGGGTGGCTATTGAGAGGGAAACAACTACTGCGATAGTCTATTGCAACCAAAAGGTTTTTTCCCTTGAATTGTCTCATTTGAAGTCATTTCCCAAACGAATGTATAGTTTATATGAAAAAAAAGAAGTTGTTTCAGTCTCTTTTGATAACTGACAAGAAACTTGAAACCTAGATCGAGTAAACAGTTAAAACATAAACTTATTTAACATATGTTATATTTGGGATTTCACTTTGTTAGTAAAGTACAGATACTATAGTACTGTCGGAAATAGAAAAAAACTGTATTTTCTCATTTATCTCTACAATTTGTGGAGTTGATATGTGCAAGTGTGAAATATCTCTTAAACTAAGTTCGGCCTAAATACAGTCTCAATGGTAGGGACACAAGAAACGTAGAAAAAGGACTTTACTGAGGAGAGATTAGTGCAGAAATGAGCAATGCGATTTTTTTCTAAGTCCAAAACGAATTATTTGGAACAGACCATGGCTGTATGCAAATTAGTGTGCGAACGATATTGTATTATAAAGGACACTTTTTAAGTGACCAATTTGAAATTAGACGTAGCTTCATTATAAACGATAGCTGACGTAAAAAATAATTACTTTCATGCTGAAACTATTAAGGATGTAGCTACCATGGAGTCTCACTGTCACTATAAAAAGAAACAGATAGGTGGGTTCATCTCAAAAGCAAAACCTGGTCGGGTGTCGCAGACGATCATTTGGGTCGGGCTTGGGGATAGAGATAACAGCTAAGATACGATAGGTTAATTATACTGGGGAAGTACACGGCATGTCATAACAATTTACAAATAATATCCAGTCCTGTCGATCTTCGCGATCGGGTGGTCATGCCACCTATATATTTTGAGACATTTAATACGATGCATTTCTGTGGTTATCAGGTATCAAACTCTTTTACATATCTCAACATAAACTTTATGAAAGAAAGACACTTTAGCTGTTAATCAATAGATGAGGCATAGTAAACACACATGAAAAAGCACGAAATATCTTTGAGATGACCCCTTGGGTGTCTGTAGGCAGCACATGCATTTCATGCCAGGTGAGTCATCGTCATACCTGGCTGAGCGACCTAATTGCCATCTATAGTCTGATCTATTGTTTTCAGCAGCTATTCGCATTTTTTCTAAGTTTTGCCCGATTTTACGAGTAAAAATGCTTTTCTGGATATCCTATTACGCATCCCACTGAATGCCAAGTTAGGCCGAAGTGGGTTATTTTGATATGTAGCTATTTGCAGTTGTGTACATTTTAGGGATACAGAGTAAGAGCCTAAAAACAGGGTTTTTTTTCTATTTCCGACAGTACTATAGTACTTTTGGGGTTGAGTCCCGTCCGGGATTCAAACCAACACCCACAGTGTCAGGCACCTATTCGCCAGCACACAAAGTCAAACGCCTTGACCGCTCAACCACCGCGGCTTCCACTTCAGATTACTTGGTGTAATCCCAAATATTACATATGTTACATTTGACCACTTTCTAAAATGGCATTGTGTATTTCATAAACTTATTGTTAATCACAATTTCAAACTGTGAGTCACATGTCGTGTTTGCCGCCATGTTTGTTTCAGCAGATAACTCTATCTCAAAGTGAACAAATCTGGTACTTCCTGTATTTTGCACTGAGCATTATCAACAGAAGTCAATTACTAAACACATACTATCGATGCATCGACAGTTTTTCGTTTCTACCATTGATTAATTGCTATCAGAGACTCAACAATTGCAATCCATCAATAGTTTGATGCATCGTTACAGCACTATCGATCATTGTTTGGAAATCAGACTTCAATATGTTTTCAGATTCAAAGATGGTACAAAGATTTTTAATGATAAATAAATTATCAACAAAAGTTCAACTTCCAAGATTATACAGAATAATACCTAATTTCTTGAATGTCAAAAGCACAGCTTATCAGCTCCAACAGCAGAGAGATTAGTGATGTCAGTTAATTGTGACATCATACAAGGGTCTGCAAAGCATTGTGATGTAATTTCATAGAAGTGATATCTCTGAAGAGACATCACATGACCCAAGCAATATTTCCTGTGGGAAGATACATCTTTAATTCCTCAGATCTGATACACCTTGGTGTTTGTGAATAATTTAGAACACTCACAAAGCATGGAGTCGTCACTGCACTCTACTTATCTTGATGACTAAGCAAATATTGTTTCCCTTGTAAACTTGACAAGATCAAAATCAAAAGTGATAACTGTCTTACTGTTCTTTGACC